AGAAACCCATCAATATAAAGAATTATTTAATTTTTATTCCACACTGACTACGGGCAAATATATCAACTCCACTAGCTCAGAACGCATTATTCGCAAGCAAGATTCAGCAGGAGTCCCTTCTGCTTTCATAAAAAAAACACAGTGGAGGTTCAAGGAATAAGTTTTAGAAAACTAACCAATTCTATATTTTCGTTATCCGTGGAGTCGATTGTAGACTTGGCAGCAAAATTATTAATGAATTGTTCCGATTCCGGAAGGTCCTCGCTTTCGTAGACATCCTCCTTTCCCGTTACAGACATTGATATAGGGCTAGAAATAGAGCAACTTGAACAAATTAACAACAAAACGCTTTGAAACGTAAAAACGAATACATGAAAGCTGTCAGTTTTTACGTGCTTTCCCATGAATTCACATCTGGTGACCATACATGTTTCTGAACTATGCCTAAGAAAGTCAAGGATCAATCTAGACCTGATTCTTTGGCGCATTCATAGTACCTGCTTTTTACGCAGATTTGTGCATTTTCAGAGGACCAGCTATGCGATTTCGTTCATACATCTACATGAAAAACCCATATTCGCGTTTCTATGTATGTGTCTACGTAAAAACGCACTAGCCTACGTAGAAGTCCCCTTACTATGAATGCGCACAAATGGAGCTTGTGTACAAAAACTATCTACTAGACACAAAAGACGGGCGTCAACGCTTGATAGTAACCAAGCTGCGAGTGTAAACAACCATAGCCGAAACAAACAGAGGCTACTGAACTCAATCAAATGACCTCGGAACACGCTCACAATGATTTACTGAAAAATAAGGAAGAGATTTCAATGTTCCAGAGTCTCGCCGCGAAATTAAACGTAGTTGGTGTGGTGCACCACCTATGTTTAATTCCCCGTCGAGAGTCTGGGACAACGACACTATTCATTCAAGTAAAGTTGCATTGTTACGGAATGCTGTCGATTTACGCGGCTGCTCGCAACTACAATTTAGATTTTGCAGTCATAAAGAATTTGCGATACAGCAATCGTACAAAGTGAATCAAATGAGAGCAGTTCGGCCGGCAGAATTACTGTATGCTAATTTCCTCGGATTTCGAAATTTCTCGTTTCGCAACCAGATTGCCATTGGGGCGCATGTCCTTCACTTGCCACCCAGGCGGCGACGCATTGGAGGTATTCAGAATTCAGGGACGTGCGTTGTTTCAACCGAAGACCGACCGAGCAACCGCCTTGCTGGCCACGCGTTGACAATGTTTGAAACAGATCGATACTGCTCGCGTAGCTCTGAATGCAATCAGCCCTGCGTTGTCAACACGTGGCCAGCAATGCTGTCGACGATTTCCTGCGCGCGCGTCGCCTGCACGCTATTTGATTGGGGCGCCGCGAACGAAGTGCGCTATTTTTGAATACATGTCTGCTTCTTGTGGTTCATTCACCTCTGATCGCTCCATTATTTCCCGATTTACGTCCATTGCCATGTTTTCATGGAAATTGTTATTTCAGATATGTCTTTCGAGGAGTTCCAGGAATTCAGAAAACAGATTAGGGCGCAGCTGGAGGAAATGAAACGTGATTATGTTCGATACCCCCGGTTTAATACTGACTATTCAGTCCGATTAGAGCGTGCAAGGAGAAGAGAGGTGAATTCGCTTTGTAATTATGATCAGTAGCATAATTTTTATACTTCCACGAATTTATAATTGTTTTCTCTGCCTTTTCTTGTTTTGTAGTCTTTATTTTGTCTAGAGTCATACCGCATAGATATTTTTACCTTTCAGAAGGAATATGTGTATGCTGAGGAATGGCATATTGGAGAGAAAATTGAAGGTTTACAAGTACGTTGCTTTTCTTTTTACAATAGTTGCATATGAGGTTCCTTTGGAATGAATTTTTGGCAAATTATTCGATTTTTAATTCGTTTTCAGTCTAGTGAAAGATGCTGCCTTGCTGCAAGATTTCGAGAAGGCTTTGTACGATGTAATCGAAGACGTTCGGAAAGGGTTTTGACTCCTCTTCTCGAAAGGATGGCCGTCTTGAAAGGATTGAACCTGGCCATTTCGGATGAGGTAGGGCCCTTTGAAATGTACTGTGACATTTTTTAAGTGGGTATGTGTAAGTTCGAGAACTAAGCAGATTGAATATTGTCCTTATAATTTGCTTATTTTGTTAAGGATCCTCACAAGGGCATCTGTATGTTTCATTGGCGCTTGATCAAATATGGCAGGCCGGGTAGGCCAATGAAAGAGGAAGAAGTGAAAGACTGGGATGCTCCCGAAAGTCGTCTCGAGAAAATTGAGCGTGATGACTATATCGAAGTAAGTTGGAGCATTTTCTTGAACAGTCTGAAATGTACGGTTTCACATAGGTGGCCTAAATTTCTAGATCCGCTAAAAGGCGGAAGTTACCTTGGCTTTTGTAGCAAATATGTTGTACTACCTAGGTAGGAATTTTTCAGCTCTGGCTCAGTGAGCTGGGCACAACTGTCTCTGTGAAACTTTGTTGATGTGTCGTTGTTGTTATGTCGTACTACAATACTAATTTGTACAATTTCTTTGAGTATTTACAAATGCAAAATGCAAGCTTCGTCTAGGTCATATTGGCAATTCATGAATTGCTGGTTGTACAAGGTGATATGTAAGTGAGACTATGATCTCGAAATTCTTCATTTAGAGCGATGACGATGAAAGTTGTACCTCTTTTGAGCCCAACTATGACGCTGGAGATGGCAACGAAGGAGGTCAGGAAGGTTTGTGTTTTATTGAGATACCTTTCCATTCATTAGATTTCCATGAATAACTTTTCTCATCATTTTGATTTTCATGCAGTTACATTAATATCAATTTACTAAAGTTTTTTTGAAATATTGATGTAGTCGTAGTGAGGTGGAAATTTGCGGGCTCCACGTCGTGGTTCAATTACTTAATCCTGCCCAATGAAGGTTACGGTGTTCGGCTAGTTCAGCTCTTCGACATTTCACTTCAGATTGCTATGCACAAACAGATCGCTAAGTTTAACGCAGCACTTTGTCGTGGATTGCTGAGCTTGATTGCGCATCAATTTTACTTTCTAACTGTTCTTTTACCCATGAAAAAGATACGTAATGATACAAAAATGGCTCCCGAAGCGTGGCAGTAGAATGCTCGAGTCGCCTAGCACCAAGAAGAAGGTATAAGGTTCCGTGTTGAGAGTTAAATATTAAAAACCATGATTGGATTTGTTATCTATATGCCAGTCAGATTACTTCTTCGAACTTGTCTGATGAAACGTAAAACAAGATATTTTGCAATTTTTCGTAGACCAGCCCTGCGTGTACCGTGCGATCCAGTTAGTCATCGCATGGCACACGCAGGGCTGCTCAATTGTTTGTGAAAAGTTCGAAATATTTAGCTATCTTGAAGCATTACTATTTCATGTGCAAGTGAATTGACGTTTCTTCACAATATTTCTGGGCAATATCTGGAATTATCCGGGATCCCAAAATCCACACACTAGAAGGAGTCGAGCTTAAACAGAGCGATCCAACTGGTTACCAACATTCGGTCACTTTTACGCCTAGATGCGAAATCCCTGAGACCCAAATTTCTGTACATCATCGGTTCTTAATAAGAGTCTTGTCATCGCCGGACCATCACCAAATTCTCACCTCAGTAGTACCTCAATAGGTCAGAACAGCGCCCAGGAAGCTTGTTGTAATTGCTTTTTGTTTTACATGCTTCATTGATTTCAATTTGTTAATCTTTACTTTCTTTATTAGCAGTAATCATCTAACAGTAATTCGAACTTTCCTCATTTGCGTATACATGCACAGCGGCTTTTCTGGACCCGAGCAGTCCGGTTAGCTGGCCGAAACCCTGAATGTGGATGCTAAAGTAATAACTGACAGCACTGCCATCAGGAGTTAAATGACCCTTACCATCTTCTTGTTATAATGTGTTAGTCAAACCCATCATTGCTGGTCCTAGGATAAGTTTTGTCGCTTGCGTGATATCAGAATGAGGAGAAAATATTATCTTTTGTTGA